TTTTTTTTTTTTTTTTTTTTTTTTTTTTTTTTTTTTTTTTCAAGAAAAAAAGATTCCATGAACATTTGGCCGAGAAGTCGATTTATAATTGTGAATGAAGTTAAACATACTTTTTGAAACAGAAGAAGAAAAGAGAACTTGATTAGAAAATTGAGTCGCTATCTACCTTTTTTTAAACTCCTCAGAATATTTTTCAATTCCATGGTCTGTAAATAGTAATTTGAAAAAAATAAATTTAATTATTTTCATTCTCTAAAGATTTTAATGAGGTTTTCGTGGCTATTTTACTCCATAAATTGAAGATTTTTAATTTTTTTGAGCGTTCACCACGTTAGTAGTGTACGCTCTCTCCCGTCGTTTTGCATCCGGTATGTTACTAATGTACCTATCCATTGGTAAAGGCCCGCACTGCTCCATGGGAATCGGCGCCATTTTTCGTGGCGGGAAGCAATACCTAGTTTCTCAATTTTTTTTTTATGTATCATTTCTACCTTTTTTTCTCCTATTTTGTCTCCTATTTCTTTCAAGCATCGTTCAATTTTTTTGTCGTCGTAGTTCTAGAAAAACTGTTGGGTACAAAGTACCCCTTCACTAATGACTCCTACATTTTACTCTATGATGACAAGACATTTCTTGCATATATGTATGTTTCCTAATGTAACGTTACCGAAACTCATGATTTGCAAATACGGAGCATCGACCACGTGGATGACACATCTCCACACCCCGTAATCACAACCTTCAAACCCCGCAAACAGGGTGCTAATACGGCTTTCAGAGGAACCTAGACAAGTGAGGACTGGATGAGCGACACCCCCCCCCCCCCCCCCNGATGCGACGCGAGAGGAAAAGCGACCGTTTGAGCGGGTGAGACGAGCAGTTCGCAGCCCGTCTGTTTCCGCGAAGCCATTTTGCTCGCAAATCATTTTCATCCCTTTGTATTCCTGGCGCGTCGTCCCGTTTTCGCTTCGAGCCTCTTGTTCGAGCGTTTTCCTCCATCAGTCCAATTTTTCCGCACGCCGCG